ATTTTTTTTTTTTTTTTTTTTTTTTTTTTTTTCTTAGTGGTAGGTGTATGGCCATTAAGCCCATTAAATGAATTAATAGAATTATACGAAGAAGGAAGAATTCGTTTTGTTTGTTTTTTATCTTATTCACGAATTATATTTAAATACCAATTAAATAATATGAATTATATTGATAAAGAATTAGCAGCAAAAGAACAACAACAACAACAACAACAACAACAACAACAACAACAACAGCAACAATATATGCAGCAACATATACAACAGCAGCAGCAACATATGCAGCAGCAGCAGCAGCAGCACTTTTTAAATAATTATTCTTTTGATGGATAACTATAACTCTTATTTTTAATTCTTTTCTTCTTTTTTTTTTTTTTATATATTTTTATTTATTTTCTTCTTTATTTACTTTCTTCCTCTTTTTATTTAATTAAGAGGAAAAAGAAATTAAACAATAAATAAATATAAACAGCCCTTTCTTTCTGTAGTAACACCAACAGATAGAGGTAGAAAGGGTTTAGGGTTTAGGGTTTAGGGTTTAGGGTTTACGCCCAAGGGTCTAGGGTTTAGGGTTTAGGGTTTCTCTTGCGGTTAAATATTTGTTGTAGGGTATACTGTGGATATCCACCTACAGCTAGCTAACCACTGGTCATATATAGCTAGCTACAGCTAGCTGCCGGCTCTCTGTAGCTAGCTAGTAACTTAATACAGCTAGCTAGCTACAGCTAGCTAGCTACACCTAGCTAGCCTCTTATGATAGTCAATAAAGGCAGCAAAAGTTATTTCTTGGTTAGAGGATAAACAACTTCTATGTAGCTGCATGCTTATTATACACTGTAAGCGGGAAATATTAGCAGCAAATAAAGAAAGAAAGAAAGGAATAAATAAATGGTAATTAAAGGGGGAGTGCATGCACTTATTATTTCTCCCTTTTATGTTAATAAATATTATTTTTGCCTCTTTTCTCGTTAATGATGAACATTTCTTAACATTCCTATCGATATGCATGCATGCACGCGGTATTTGTGTATATTGTATTTAATTTATTCATAAATATTTATTAATAAATAAATAATTAAACAAATTAAATTATAAAAAGAACGTCTCTGTACCTTTATTTCTTCTGTTATTCAACAGTATTCATGTTGCATGCCTGTCGGCTGTGTGTGCAAGGGGGGCAGCGGACTAAAAAGAAGCAAACAAAAGCGGGAAAAGAAGAGAAATAATATTGCACACTTATTCTTTTAGCATTAAAAATAAAATAAAATAGTAAATAATTCTTGTTTTCTTCTTTTTCCTTAAGAGAAGAACCTAAGCACGGGTAAGCAGGTATATAATGCTTCGATAGCATTGGGGTGTATAGGCAGCTTCCGCTTACCGCGATTATATTCAATAAGGAAATCAAGGGATTCATACTTGAACAAGTTGCTTTTCCTTCGTTTTCCTCTCTTTTAGAGGGTATTTTAAGTTATTTAACTCATTTATAATCTTTGTTCAACAATTCAATACTCCTGTTGTTACCTCCTGTTGCTGCTGCTATCTTTCTTTTGTTGCAGCTTCTGCTCAATTTACCATCACGCAGCAGCTTGCCTCCTCTTTTCTCTTCTTCATTGTTTATGATTAATTAAATAATTAAAGAATAAACAAAACATTTTTCTTGAGTTTCCGTCATTTAACGCCTTTCCTTCCTTAAGGAAACACCCCTTTATCCTCTCTTCTCCGTTTGTTTCCTGTCATTAGTCGCACACAAAGATACACAACACGAGAAAGCTGCATATACGGGGTGTATATGCATCTCCCTATAAAGGACTATTTAGTATACTTATTTAACTCAAGTATATTATTATAACCATAGCCTCAGAGCAACAGCAACAGCAGCAGCAACAGCAGCAACAGCAGCAGCAGAAGCAGCAGCAACAACAATGGGTCTCCTTGATATATTTAAGAGGAAGAAGGGGAATCGTTCTTCCCCTGCTGCTGGTGCCCAAGAGGATAATTCGCATCCTGCTGCCTCATCACCATCAGCAGGAGCAGGAGGAGGAGCATCAGCATCAGCCCAACAACGCCAACAACAACCAGCAACAGCAGCAGAATCTCCATCATCAGTAGCCCCCCCTCAAGCAGGACCATCGCCATCATCAGGAGGAGCAGCAGCAGCAGCAGGAGCAGCAGCAGGAGGAGGAGGAGCAGCAGCAGATCCACCAACAAAAGGAGGATATTTAGTATATACATCATCAGTAGCCCCCCCTCAAGCAGGACCATCGCCATCATCAGGAGGAGCAGCAGCAGCAGCAGGAGCAGCAGCAGGAGGAGGAGGAGCAGCAGCAGATCCACCAACAAAAGGAGGATATTTAGTATTTGATTCATCAAGTAACGGTAGTTTATATTTAGTTTATAATTATTTATTAATAAAAGATGCATTTGCTTTCTTTAAAACAAATAAAAATATTCCTGAATTTAAATTCAAAGATAATTCAGGAAAAATCGAAATCTTCAGAAATCTTATGGTATATATACAATATTACGGTTTACGGTTTAGGGTTTAGGGTTTAGGGTTTAGGGTTTAGGGTTTAGGGTTTTGGGGGGTGGAAGGTGGTTGGCGGGGAGGGGGGGGAGATAAAGAAGAAATATTAATTTTTAGGGATTTAGTGTTTAATAAAATATATAATAATATTATTTTATACCATAAACCCCAAACCCTAAACCCTAAACCCTAATTGAGTGTTTATTTCTTTCTTTTTTTTTTTTTTGTTTTTGTGTGTGCAGCAAGATAAACAAAAGTATTATGAGGGTTTTTGTCAATTCTTTAAGGCAGCAGCAGAACAAAGAGGAGAATGTGAATTACTCCCGGGTGTACAGGCAGCTCCTCTTAAGGTACAAGTAGCATTTCTTGATGGTACAAGAGTGATGCTGCTGCAGCAACCCGACAGCAGCAGCAGCAGCAGCAGCAGCAACAGTTATAGCAAAATAATGGCAGCAAATAAGACTGCTGTTGCATGCATACCTAAAGGGGATAATGCATTTAATGCACAAACCCTCGCTAAGGAAGTTTTCCTAAGAAATGCAAGAAGAGGAGGAGCAGCTATTACCCTCTAAACCCTAAACCCTAAACCCTCGTAAACCCTCAGTCGTAAACCCTCAGCAGGATTATTAGGGTTTGGGTTAAATGGACAGACATCCATCACAAACACTCCTTCGCATGCTGTAGAAGCATTTACAGCTGCTCCTCCTGCTGCTGTTGCTGCAGCAGCAGCAGCTGCAGCAGCAGCAACAGCAACTTGGGGTGTATATGCACCTATGGACTCCCCACCACTCATTATTTTTTCTATGGGGGGGCTCCTGCTCCTATTCTATTAGATATCTTAATGTATATA